CAGTCCTCAGCTTCCTCTACTCTGCTTTTTAAAACTTCCAATATGTTTTTCATTTCTGATATGTCATTTTTTATGTCTTCTTGATGGTTTTTAATTTCCAATTGACTTATTTTCAGTGTCTCTATGTCCTTACTCATGTTGTTCAGCTTCCTCAAGATCATGGCTCTGCATTCTAGCTCTGTTAACATGCCTAATTGCTCCACATTGATCTCATCTTCGGTGGAGGTCTCTTGCTCTTTCATTTGGCTTCTGTTTCTGTGTTTCACCATTTGGGCTATCACTATGGGCTTTGGAGTCTGTCAAGTTTTCCCTTGGGTGTTGGTGTTCTGCTGTTTGTGGCTCCCTCTCCTGTGTTTAGATGAGCGAGGGAGGACCCTCGTTGAACACCACTGTAGTCTTACTTTCCTGGTTAAAGTTGCTAGCCCAGGAAAGGTACTGTTATCCTCCAGCTTTTTGCCTGGAGGCTAGCAGTCGAGGTTACTTGATGTGTTTTGGGTTGTCAGTTGATTGAAAAACTCCCTCTGGTGCTCAGCACAAGGGGATTTCCCAAGGGTGGGGCAGATGCTGGTTGTTAATGAGCTTCAATTAGCACTTTAATGGCCCACAGGCTGGGGTTGGATCTCGGAGGGAGGGGCTGCTGCCTCTCCTCAGAGCCTTGGGAAGGAGCAATACGGCTACTGTCCTGCGTGGCTGCCACTCAGCAAAAGCTCTGAGCGCCCCCCAAATCCCGAGGGTCCCCACACAGTTCCAGTCCAGTGTGCCCTCCCTCTGCCGGAGCCCAAGGTGAGTGGCTGTGGCTGTTTCAGCCTCTGTCCCGGCTGCGCTGTGGAGCCGCCTGGGAGTGTGACCCGAGGGCGCTGCTCCCAGCTGAGGCCACTGCCGAGCTGCCGACCATGGGCTCCCAGCCCCGTCTCGCGCCTTCGCAAGCCTACCGGGATGGAGTCAGTGTCCCTCGTTGTATGGTCCTCCAAGCTGCTTTTCTGTTGCTTTTTCCCGTCAATTTGTCTGTGTTATAGTTGTAATTCCAGTTTGGTTCTGGGAGACAGACTGTGTAGCTTCCGTTCACTCCGCCGCCATTTTTTGTTTTCCTAGTTTGTTTTCATAAACATTTTCTAGATACAATATTTTGATTTTTTTTTTTTTTTTTTTTTTGGTACTTGCTCCTACCAGAAACCAAACCCAGGACTCTCTGGTCCACAGGCTGACGCTCCAACTGCTGAGCCAAACCAGCCAGGGCAATATTTTGACTTTCATACTAATAATTCTTGTATGAGAGTTCTTTTCTTTTGCTCTGAGAAAGTTTTGGTCTCTCCCTGAGGGTTGTCCTGTGATAACTATTGGTTATCCTTCAGTTCTGAGTATTGATGGCACCATAAAAGTTGAATGTATTGCTAATTCAAAAGTTTAGTCAGTTTTATTTTTTACTACCTCAGATCCTTAGCCAGAACAGTCTGGAAAACTATAAGACCTTTGGATTTCAACTTCTTTTTTTCCCTTTTCATCTCACTGAAGTTGGTCTTTAGTGAGTACACTGAAATGGCCACAGGTTGGTCCCAAGTCAAAGAAGGTACTATATTCAAGATATTTTGCCAGTATAAGAAACACCAAAAACATGTAATATTATAGAAAAACGTCCACGAATGCTACTTTTGTTTATTTAAGAAGTCCGTGAGATAAAACTATTTTGAAGCAGGCTTATTGCTTGAGGTTTTTTTTAATGTATCGGTGAGAATTAACCATCAGAAGAACTACACAATAAGGTATTTTTCCTTGGGTAGAGAGCATTCAGTTATAAATATACTGCCGTAACTGTTCTTTGGGGCTCTGGTTGCTATCTGTTATAACAGTCAAATCTTTCTGCAGAACACTTTCCCTAAAGTGAGTTTCTACTCTATCACTACTGAATTTACACTCTCTAAAGCACATTGTGTACAAGAGAGAAATTTTTGCATGAACTACTTGCCTGGTTGCCATTTAAAGATCATAACAGATGTGTCTAATTTCCAGACTGTAGCAAGATTGTGATGATTCTGAATTGAGCTGGAAAAAATTAGATGTGTGTTGGCTATATAAAAGACTATATAGACTGTCTAAAATTAATACCATATTTATAGCCAAAAGCCTATTTTATAATTTGGCATTCTGAGAATAGATTACGTAAAATGGTTTTACTTTGACTAGTAATTATTGTACAGCTGAAAAGTAAATTGGAAGTACTCCAACAGAACAGAAAACAGTGTTTCCTTCAAAATTAAAATGGAATAATGGCAGTTTTAGAAAAGAACTGGTTATATATGCTAAACTTTAAAGTTCAGATTTTCATATGTAGTCATTCAATCACAGAACTTAAGAGTTCTTACATTATCACCTTGGGCGATTTGGCTCAGCAGTTGGAAAGCGTTGGCCTGAGGACCAAGGAGTCGCAGGTTTGATTCCGGTCAAGCACACATACCTCGTACCTCAGTTGTGGTTTGTGGTTCAGTCCCTGGCCTGGTCAGGTCGTGCAGGAGGCAACCAGTCGGTGTGTCTCCCTCACATCAATGTTTCTCTCTTTCGATCTCAATCTTTCTCCCTCTCTCTCTCTCTCTACCTCTTTTCCTCCCCCTCCCTCCCTACCACTCTATCAGAAGATAAATGGAAAAATATCCTCGAGTGATGACTAAAAAAGAAGAAAGAGCGCTTACTTTACCTTATGTTTCTCTTAAAATTTTATCAGTTTTTATGGAACTCTAAGCATCCTCAGAATATCCCTAGGAGACATGAAGAAACCAATTTTATCATTCCTTCATAAACTTGGGACACAAGTGATAGGGTTTTCAGCTTGATATGACCCAATATTAATGTATTTTAAAATATATTGCATGTTAATAACATTTTTATGAAAAATAACTATTTACCAAAACAAAACAAAAAATTTAGTGAGAAGAGTGGCAACTTCTTTTAGTGGCTAGTTTAAAAAAAAAAGAAAGAAAAAGAGTAGTGTGCAACATCACCCCAGACTTTCACAAACCATACCTTGAGAACTGGTATACCAGGAAAATAAGAGAGTCTTAAAGCAATACTGGACAGCTTTCCATGGTTCATTTTTTATAATGAGTTAACATTTGGAGAGGGAGAATTAAAGTGGAGTTTCTCAACCTCAGCACTATTGACATTGAGGGCCAAGTAATTATTTGTTGTGAGAGACTGTCACGTGCAATGTAAGATGCATCCCTGGGTTCTCTCCACCTAGATGCCAGTATCATCTGTTACCCCATCTCCAGCTGTGATAACCAAATGTATCTCCAGACATGGAGGGGCAGAATTGCTCTGGTTGATAACTATGGATTAGAGGAAAGAAGTGACACAAGATAGAACATAATTAAAGATTTCCTAAAACTTACTTTTTTTTCTTGGTAAAAATGATTATAGGCTAAAGATAAATTGAACTATTGTTTGAGAATGTTAGAGTAATTTAAAAAGAAAAGAAATGTAGCATTCCTGTGTTAGCCAAATATTAAGCCATGGAAATAAAGAGGCTATGTAAGAATCTAATTTATTCCTAAATCAGATACCAGAAGACTAATGAAATAAAAGAAGTAACATTTCATTCGCAGCAATTAGTACAGCAGTTGGGGTATTTTCACTAAAACCCTGGCTTTGAAAATTGGGTTAAGAAAATCTAAGGTTTCGCCCCCTTCTCCCCCATTTTCAAAGTTGCTGTTAAAAACTGTGGGCTGTGGGCCTGATCCCCAGTGGGGAGCATGCAGGAGGCGGCCAATTGATGTTCTCATCGATGTTTCTATCTCTTTCTCCCTCTCCCTTCCTCTCTCTCTAAAATCAGTAAAGAAAAATAAATAAATAAACAAAAAAACTGTTGGCCTGCCCTGGCCAGTTTGGCTCAGCAGTTAGAGCGTCGGCCCGCGGACCAGAGAGTCCCTGATTCATTCCCGCTAAGGACATGTACCTCAGTTGCCTTTTGTCCCCATCCCCAGTTGGGGTTGTGTAGGTAGCAGCCACTCGATGTTTCTCTCTCTCCTTCTCTCTCTATCTGAAGATAAATGCAAAAAAAAATGTCCTCAGGTTAATAAATAAAATAAATAAAAACTGTGGGCCTGATATCTGTCAGTAATCAATATATTTGTCCTTTAACTCAGCAATATCATTTCTAGGAAACTTTTACAATAATACTTAGTTTTTGAAAGAAATTACTGGAAAGTTTTATTACAGCATTGTTGATAATGTCGGAGAATAACAAACTAGCCATCACTTCAGAAACCATAATTAGAGATGAAATTATTTATGAAACACTTTGATACTGTGAAGTTCTTCTAAATATATATATATTTCTATATATGCTATTATGGTAGGATATATACAGTTAATAAAAATATTAAGTAAAAAACAAGTTGCAGAACTAAACATCCATTTGTGTATAAATAAAAAGGAAGTATATGTTTTGTGCATACAGTTGTATATGCCTAGAAGTTTTCTGGAACTTATGGTAATAGTGGTTACAATCTAGAGAGTGGAACTGGAAGAATGGGGGTGGGGATGGGACATTCACTTCTTCTCTGAACACTTCTATGGTATTTGATATTTTACCATTATTAGCTCATTACTATAATCAGAAAATATTTAAATTTTGAAGATAATCATGCTGTATTAAAATATAATTTTGAAAGTTATACTTTGCTATATAAATATGACTTTTAAAAAATAATGATCAAATAACCATGGAAAAGAATAATGAGACTAATTCCCCCCCACACAAAAGAAGTATTTGCTGTGTCAGTAATAAACTCCAATAAAATCATTGTAAGAAGCTACTGTACTTCAGGTCTGAGGTTGTACTTTGGATTCCAAAGCTCCTGAAAATGTGACGTTTAACAGGTACAGTGAACTGATTATTTTTAATCCACGTAAGGCGTTTTCTTATTTGTGTGAGGGTGTGTGGGTGTATATTGGCACTTCAGTATTTCGGGGAGATTTTAATATTAAATTTTCGTTTACTTATTTAGGTCATGAGACATGTGTAGAACTTCTTTTAGAACAGGAAGTTTTCCAGAAAATTGAAGGAAATGCTTTCAGTCCATTGCATTGTGCTGTGTAAGTAAAGGCAGAATGAATCAAATTTGGTTTGACTGTTTAAGAAATACACCATTGCTGTGAGAGTGATCACCTCATTACCTTACACAGGATCAATGACAACGAAGGTGCTGCTGAGATGTTGATTGACACATTAGGTGCCAGCATCGTGAACGCCACAGATTCAAAAGGAAGGTAGGGATTCAGCTGGGTAGGAAATTGTTTCACTTTCCATAAGAAGAAAATTTTAGCTACTACACTAGTGTGAAAGGATTTAGAGAACCCATTATTAATTAAAAGTTGACTTTTATATTTGCAAGTACAAAGTGCCATAAAATCTTAATTATGTTCTCATTATAAAAGATGTTTTTATTATTTTTAGTCATTTTTCATTTTTTTAAAACTTGTAAAATGTGAAGTCCCCCCCCCCCCTTTTTTTTAAGGGCAGTATGTTTGTTACCCAACAGTGATTGTTAATAAAGTTAACATTTTTCTGTATAGAAATAAAGGCTGGAAGAGAAAGTCCAACAGTTGTAATAGATGGCAGTATTTGAATCAGAATTGATTTATGTCAGTACTTCCTTTAATGATGTAACATTGTTCTAGCAATTTTACAATTTATCCTTATTTATATTAGTTTAATTAAAGGTCTTTTATATTAGAAATACAAATATTTGTGGCAGAAATTAGTAAATTCCATTAATCTTGTTTGCATCTAGGCAATGCTTATATAGCCTAATCTGTAAACCCTTGAAAATGACTTGTCATATATTAAGGAATCATTTTAATATATGACATAAAGATTTAGTCAGGTCTTTCCACTTCTCTGCATTGCAGAACTCCTCTCCATGCTGCTGCCTTTACAGACCATGTGGAGTGTTTACAGCTGCTGCTCAGCCATAATGCTCAAGTCAATTCTGTGGACTCTTCCGGGAAAACACCTCTCATGATGGCTGCAGAAAACGGACAAACAAACACAGTTGGTAAAGAAACTGGTTACAGCTTTTATTATTCTCAGTATGTATATTGCTTACGTAGAGCTTAGCTCTCAAGCCCTCTGACTCTAGTTCATAGAATTTTCCACTCGTTATCCCACCACTCCTGAGATTTAAAACCTTCTACCTCCTTACAACCCACATTTTTATTTAGGGTCCAGATGTTTTCCTTTGCCCTTACTGGTTGAATAGTCTACTTCAGCACACAGTGTAAGATCATGGTTTAGAACACTGGCTGTGGGGTCAGTGTGACTGAATGTGAGTCCTAGATCTGCCAACTAAGTGACCTTGTGCCTTAGTTTTTTAATTTATAAAGTGAGAAAAATAACTGTGTAGGGTTGTTGTGAGAGTTAAATAAGGTATTATTATTATTCCAGAGCACTTAAAATAGTATTTGAAATTTCGTTAGCACTCATAAAGTGTTAGTTGCTGCTGTTGAGGTGTCTTTGACTTACCCAACAGTAAGACAGTAGAGTATGTATGTTTTATATTACATTGTTTTTCTTGCACTTTAGTTTTTGCTAGAGGTATAATTTTGCTTTGCATCTTCATTTCTCTACAGTGGGTTAGTAGTAATTTAAGGTATATGTTCATAAACAAAGAACTGATGCAGTTTTTCTTCCCAGAGATGCTGGTTAGCAGTGCTAGTGCAGATCTGACTTTACAAGACAACACTAAAAACACCGCCCTCCATTTGGCTTGCAGCAAGGTATGTACACATTTTAAGGATATGTTTTCATTGTTAATATCAACAGTGGCATTTAAAGTTTTTCCACTTCACTAATATGAGCAGAGCTAGTGATTACTTGCAACAGATTTCTTGAAAAAAAGTACTGATGTGTTAGGCGCCATGGTGTATGAAAGTCTCCAACAAACCAAGTAAGTTTTAGAGCACAAGCTTTCTTTAACCTCTCTAATCTTAAATATTCTTGTCCTCTCCCCCAAGGTCATCCCATCAACACATTTGGACAAATATTTAAGTCATTAGCCAAGAAATTCATGGCATATGTATGGTGATATACATGTTTTATGGACTAGGGTTGGAGTATATTGAGTGTATAAATTTATCTTTAATGGTACCCAAATTTTTAAGAGTTACTTTTTCATAATTTTAGGGTCATGAAACTAGTGCCTTGTTAATACTGGAAAAGATAACAGATAGAAACCTCATCAATGCAACTAATGCAGCCTTGCAAACGTAAGTACTTGGAGTCTAGTATGAACTTTGTGATCTATAATTATAAAAATGATTAATGGGGTTTTTCTAACAGGACCATTGGAATCGGTCTCAGTCACAGTGTTTATAATTGACGAAACTCATTTCTGTAATCATAACAATTAAAAGGCATAGAGTCAACCCTCGTTTATCGCAGTTAAATCAGTTCTGGACTCGACCACGATAAATGAATTTCAGCGAAGTAGGAGTCTTTATTTATACAAGTCATCCCATGTATACTGTATTACTGAAAAAGCTTTAGAACTTAAAACTTTGTTATTGAAAATAATGTTTTTTCTCTATTCAATTTTATGGAGGGCAGTAATACCATTCTGTGTGTTTTATGGAAACACACTAGAATAATACATTATTTGACACTAGTAGTAAATGAGGTAAAAGGTTTTGTATGTGTCTATAAGCTAAAGATATTTCATAAAAGTATAAAGTTCTTAATGTGAGCAGCCAGCCTGTAGGTGACTGCTTAGATCTTAAATCAACATCTCCCATTGTCCTCTCCCAGTTTCTATTTGCTAGTTCACTCTGAGACTTGGAATAGAGAAAAATCTTATGATACTCTTTTCCATTCACGTATCAATTAGATCCCTTGAGAGTCCAAAAATTAGTCATGGAACCTGTAAGCTTTTTTCAAGGTCTATCAGAATTTGTGCTACTTCAATTTTATGATTTTTATAGTGTGTTCTGTTGTACCTGTTTGCCAACCTCATTTCTTTAAAACAATTTAAAATGCAGTTTATTGGTAAAATCTTTTTAAACATTAGTCTTAAAAGGAGCTAACAAAAGGGTTTAATGAAGGTGGGAATTTGCTCATGTGGTGCAGTGCTAAGCGGGTGCATGTTGACGAGGTGTGACTGCACTGCACATGGGCTTTGCTGTCCCACACACCCGTCTGGTTGTCACTGGGACTGGGTGGCTCAAGTTTGTAGTGTGCGCATGTGTGCATGCGTGCGTGGGCATGCACGTATGTACATGTACAATTTTCCCCCCCAGACCTCTGCATGTTGCTGCCCGAAATGGGCTAACAATGGTGGTTCAGGAACTTTTGGGGAAAGGAGCAAGTGTGCTTGCAGTAGATGAAAATGGTAAGTAGATTCTGTATTTTCTTTACTTAACCTGTATCTTACTAGAGTTTTTAATCTTTTGATGATCTATATTTGAAATAAAGTAAACTTAGATATTTTTTACTGGTCAAAAAGGGGAGCTGAAATTAACATTGAATGTTAATTAACTTTGTGGCAAAGGAAGTAAGAGAAACAAGAAAAGTCCATCTAACAGATTAACTGAATTTCACCTATCTGTTAAACCAGAATTAGTGTTTATTAAATTTGGGTGGGCATTACCATCTTTTTTATCTTAGTATTCAAAGAATTTGTTTTGTCAACAAATATTTATCAATGCTCTTACTTCATTGCCAGGTTCTTACCTAACACTAATACTCCCACTTGTGCACTAGATTGTGTCCCCTTTTGCCTACTTGAGACTCATGTTAGTAGTTCTTTGTGTCCTATAATAAAAATTTCTTTTTGGAATCATCCTAGATTATTCTCATCAGTATATAAACATCATTTCTCTGATCTTAAAAATATTTTTCATTAATCCCACTACTCCTTCCAGCTACTGCCATATTTCTCTGTTCCTCTTTGCAGTAAAATTACTTGAGTTGGCTCTCCTGCTATCTCCAATTCTTCTCTTTCATTCTCTCTTAAATTCCCTCTTGTCAGACCTTGGCCACACCGCACTGCAAAACTGTCCTTGTCAAGATCACCGATTACCTCCACAGTGTTGAGAATATGTTCTTAGTTCTAATTTTACTTGATGTTTCAGAATTTGGCACAACTGATTTTTTTTTTTTTTAATAGGAATAAGGGATTTAACATGGAATTTTAATATACATGAATAAGGGAGTATTGGGCATGTGAAGGTTGCAACCTTCCATAGCAAGTATCCAATGTTTCTCCAAATAACCTTCATATTTTCTTTTATGCTGCTCACTGCTACTTGGATAAATTGGTGCAAATCACTGTAGGGCAGGATAAGAGGGAGAGTCATAGTAAGTACCTGATTTGACTGCAGTACCCTGACTTAGGCGAGCCCAGTCTCCATTCACAGATACCTGGTTCCTTGAATTGATAACTGGGTGAGGGTTTGTAATTTGCTGTTTGGATGGTTAGATTAATTAATCAGATTCACTGGAACTGAAAATTGTTTTTTACTCTATTTTCTTTTATTAAGGTATAATTGACATGCAACATGATATCAGTTCCAGGTATATTCTTTCTCCTTGATAAACTTTCTTCACTTGGCTTTCAGGACTCCACACTTTTCCACCTATGTTACTAATTATTTTTTTTCTTTTCTTTCTTGATTGTTTTTTTTTTTTTTAGAGAGAGAGTGAGAAAGGGAGAAGAAGAGAGAGATGGAAAGATTGATGAGAGAGAACATTGATTGGCGGCCTCCTGCACGCGCCCCCACTGGGGATTGGGCCCACAACCTGGGCATGTGTCCTGACCAGGAATTGAACCGGCGACCTCTTGGTGCATGGGTCAATACTCAACCACTGAGCCATAATGGCTGGGCTTACTAATTATTCTTTTTTTTTTATTCTCACCCGAGGACATTTTTCCATTTTTTTGTTCAGATAGAGTAGGAGGGAGGGAGGGAAGGAGGGAGGGGGAGAGAGAGAGAGAGAGAGAGAGAGATATCAACATGAAAGGGACACATCGAGTGGCTGCCTCCTGCATGAGAGAGAGAGAGAGAGAGAGAGAGATATCAACATGAAAGGGACACATCGAGTGGCTGCCTCCTGCATGACCCAACCAGGGCTGGGGACAAACTGCAACCACGGTACATGCCCTTAGTGGAAACCAAACCCAGGTCTCTCTGGACTGCAGGCCGATGCTCTAACCGCTGAGCCAAACCAGTCAGGGCTACTAATTATTCTTGACGTATTTTGCAAAGTTTCTCCTCCTTCTGCACAACTTCTAGGACTCAGACATTGGTTCTTTTTGTTTTCCCCGTCTGCATTCACTCTTTAGGTGATCTCATCCAGTCCCTTGGTCCTAAATACTACCTGTGCTGAGAAGTCCTAACTTTATATCTCCAGCCCAGACTTCTCATGATTTACATATTCGTAGATCCAATGGCCTAATTGATAGTACTACATGGTTGTCTACTAAACAACTCAAACCTAACATGTCCAGAGCTGAACTAGAGATCTTTTTTCTTCTCCCCCTGCCAGGCCGTTGTCCCCATAGCCGTCCTGATCTCGGTTGATAACAATCCCTTCCTTACCGTTGCTCATAGCAAAACCTGGAGTCATCCTTACCTCCTCTTTCTCACACTCAGTGTACAATCCATCAGCACATACTATTGACCCACCTCCAAAGTATGTTCATATATGCTTACTTTTTTCTTCTCTACTCCTACCACCCTGGCCTGGATCCTTTAAAAAAGTGTGAGAAGATATTAGTCCTCTGAACCTCAGTCCCCTTATAATGATTTACAAGGCCCTGCATGATTGGTTTCTGCCCTGCTCCTCTGATCTCATCTCTGGCTCTTCTCTCCATTCTGCCACGCCAGCCCCTTCTCACCATGGATGTGCATGTGTCGTGACCTTCGTTCCGGCTGTTTCCTCTGCCTGGGACACTCTGTCCCTAAGCAGTCTTTGACTAAATCCTTCACCTGTTTCAGAACTTAGCTCAAATGTCATCTTCTCAATGAAGCCGATCCTGACTGCCCTATTTATACTGCAACCTGCTACCCCCCACAGCTCTCAGTCCCTGTTACCCTGCTCGATTCAGTCCTCTTTCTTGTTTCCATGGAGCTTATCTTCTGTGCAGCAATTGTCAACCTGTGTGCCACAAGAACTTTTAAAACATGCAATACCTGACTGACCTCTTTTCCCTTAGATTCATCCAGTGTGAGTGAATCAAACTTATAACTATTTTTTCTTGTCAGATCTGCAAAAAATACAATATATTTTTTGGTGTGCCACAGAATTTCAGCGATTCACTTATGTGTGCCTTGAGATAAAAAAGATTCAAAATCACTGATCTAACATATTGTATATAGTTTACTTTTTTAAAGTTGATTGTGTGTCTCCCCTATTGGAATGAATATGAGCTCCATGAGGGCAGGACTCTGTCAGTGGCATTCACTGACACATTCTAAGTGCTTAAAAGAGTGCCTGGACACAGTGGGGACTCTGAATACTTGGGTTGAGTGTGTGTGCCAAGCCCTGTGCTCAGTTCTCAGGGTACAGTGTAGAATGAGGTGGTCTACTTCCTTAAATGGAGATGAGTGTGAACAGTGTTCTAGTGCATTTGGATTATGTAGTCCAACAGAAGTAAATCTGAATGCCACTAGAGCACGCAAGAGTGCTCAAACCCTTTTTGTAGGATCAGGGAAGGCATCCCAAAAAAGTGACTTCTAAACCAAAATCCAGAGACAAGTAAAAAGTGGGGAGAGAACTTTCTAAGCACAGAGCATTGTAAATACTGAGTTATGCCAGAGTTGCTTCACTCGGGTGTCATTGGAAGATAGCAGTTAGTCTGGGGGAGAGGGGAGCAAGATCACGCTAGGAAAACAAGTTAGCAGTTACAGGTGAGAGAAGAGGGTAGCCAGAATTAAGGTGGAGGCATTGCAGATGAAACAGGTATTTGGATCTTGTGATGGGACTCACTGGGACTTGGTGAGGGAAGAAGTCACATGCCACCTGGCTTGGAGAGCTGTGTGGATGGAGGTACCATTGTCTAATATGGAATGTAGGAGGAAGGGCTGGGTTCATTTAGGGGTTTGAGAAAAGTTCAGTGGAAACACCAAGGGGCTAATTGGATATATGTATCTGGAGCCCAAAAACAAGAGCTGGATTGGATAGAGATATTTGGGGATCATTAGTATATGTAGTCATGAAATCCATAGAAGTAGCACACTAAAGATAAATTCAGACTCTCATCTAGCTTTAAATGAAACTTTCATTATCAGTAAATTACATTTCTGGAAATGTAGAACTATATAGATTAAAACAAGGAACCTAAAATTAGGATACTTGACCACATTGTGAGCTTCTGAATCAATAGCTGGTATGAAAGTCTTTACTGATCATTTTTAATATTTTATATATTATAAAGAAGTGGAAGGGATACTATAACAGATCACCTGTGACTTGGATATCTTTAACACATTTTCAATGTAAAATCGCAATTATGGTCCAAAGTGGACAAGTCATAGTAAATACTGATCTCATTTTATAATCAATTCTAAATTTCAAACTAATGACCCAGTTACAAATTGCTCAAATAACAACAATAGTTGATGATTGATTAGGCTCTGTAGTCTAAGTAGAGATGAGAGAAAGGGCTCAGTACATCCTAATTCACTCTAAGAATAAGGGTAAGTGATATTCCCATGAATTTTCCTGGAGGAAGCAAAATACATTGTCCTTGCATGGGATGGATCCAGTGGTGGGGAGTATCTGGCCCATAGGCTATATAAGGTCCTTGAAATAATACCAGCTAACATCATACACCTCACCAAGTTAGCCTGACCAAATATGGCAGGCTATATTTTTAAGTTGATAATTTTGCGAATGATGTTATAAATATCCAAATGGCCCTTGGCAGAAAAAAAGGTTCCCCACTCCTGGATTAGACCCTTGTCCTCAAGCAGTTTGCTTCTCTTACATTTCTCTTTAGCTGATCATACCAACCCTATGCAGAGGAGAGGAGCCTGTTGTCATATTCCATCTAGAAAGCACTCCTGAGATACTCCTCTCCCCCCATCCCCACTCTCATCTAAGGCATCATGTCCTGTCTAATGAGTTGCTCTGCCTACCAGTAGGAGCAGCACAATAGGCAACTTCAGAAGAGCCCTTTAAAGAAGTGTGATCATTGCCCGACTGGTGTGGCTCAGTGGTTGAACATCGACCCATGCACCAAGAGGTTGCCAGTTTGATTCCCAGTCAGGGCACATGCCCAGGTTGTGGGCCCAATCCCCAGTGGGAGGGCATGCAGGAGGTGGCCAATAGATGTTCTCTCATCGACGTTCCTATCTCTCCCTCTCCTTTTCTCTCTCTCTAAAAAATAAAAATAAAGAAAAAAATAATAATTTTTTAAAAAGACGTGTAATCGTTGAAGCACTGTCCTACGCACTTTGAGCAAATAGAGTTTTTAAATGTGCACCCTTCAGCCACTTCAGACAAACTTGCAGGGGTATTAGCTGTTACCTTTGACCCTTGAAAGGGAGAAAATTTATGAAGGGATGATGTTATCTTTTTTTCTCAATGCTAATGTATCATGGATAAAAATATACAGTGATACCTCGGTTCTCGAACATAATTCGTTCCAGGAGGATGGTCGAGAACCGAATTGTTCGAGAACCGAAGCAATGAAACCAATAGGAAAGCGGACTCCACAAAGCGTGACTCTCTCTCTGCACTCACACTGATGACGCAAGCGAACGCCATTCGGCTCATCTCGGAAGTTCGAGTTCCAAATATTTGTTCGGATTCCGAGACAAATGTTTCTCGAATCTCCATTTGGTCGAAAACCGAGGCGTTCGAGAACCGAGGTTTCACTGATAGGAGAACTAGAAACAGCCAAATGCTTAATAGAATGAATAGCTAAACCATTGTATAATCACACAGTGGAATATATAACAAAATGAACTGACTGCAGCAACATACACATCATGGATAAATCTCACAGACATAATGTTAAACAAAAGAAGCCAGATGTAAAATAATACACACTGTATGATTCCATTTACATTAGGTTTTAAAAAGTCAAAACTATAGTGTTTATGAATACAAGTAGAAAGGAGAGCACAGAAATGATTACCACCAGTCAGGAGGTGGTTCCCTTTGTAGAAGAGAAAGGGTTGGTGATTAGGGAGGAGACAGATGGCCTCTGGCATGCTGGGCATGTTCTCTTTTTGGATCTGGATGGTGGTTACATGAATGTTTGTTTTGTAGTAAATCAGCTATATAAAGAACAAATGGGACTTTTAAAAACATCTATAGATGTGTGTGAAGGCTAAAGCATGAGTAAATGCAGTAAGAGGGAAAACTGTCTAGATGTACAACAACGAATGAAACTGCAGACTCAAAAGTGAAGGCATTTGCTAACCCTCCCTGTGGGCAGCCTAACCTTGGCATCACACAGTGTGCTTACCAGCGTCTCTCCTGCTCCATCCTCACACTGGGCCCTGTGCACCAACCAGAGTACCAAAGGTTTCCTTTCTCAGTTGTATTGATGACGGTATGGAGCCTTATGGCTAAGTCAGGCTTCTTCAGCCACAGAAAGGGACAGTTATGAAGTAAAAATTGTGTGGACATAGGAGTTTTCTAAGTTCATCTATTTCGTTTATCTACAATTCTTTAATGGAATGTGATGCTAAAAGAGAAGTTTAAGGCAGCAAAGTGTCATTCATTCTGCACATCCGTTTTGAGTGCCTGCTCAGAGTCTCATTCATGAGTCTTGTCTCATTTAGATTTCTTAGCATATAGACCCTTACATTAACTTAAATTTAATGGTAAGAGTCTTCCACCATTCTGAAAGATTATGGAACTTTTTTCTTAATCCCAGTATCTTCTGTGAATTCTGATGGCTATGGATAAGTTGTGAGATCTTGGAGAAATCATCCAACTCTGGGCCTCTGTTTCCTCTTCTGTAATGTAGTCTGAAAGGTCTCCTACCCTAGTTTGCTTTGAGTTTTCTCTTTTCTACTTATTGGAAATTACTGAATCACTTTAAACCAGTTTATTATAAGGCAAGCAATTGAAAATACTAAAGGCATATTTTCTTATATTATCTAAAGAGTCTCAGGATGTTTAATTTTTTAAATTTTATCTTCAATTCTAGGCTATACCCCAGCTTTGGCCTGTGCTCCCAATAAGGATGTAGCTGATTGCCTAGCTCTCATCTTGGCCACCATGATGCCTGTCTCATCAAGTAGTCCTTTATCATCCCTGACATTCAATGCCATTAATCGTTACACCAACACCTCAAAAACAGTCAGCTTTGAAGCCTTGCCCATCATGAGGAATGAACCGAGCTCCTATTGCAGTTTCAACAACATTGGCGGGGAACAGGAGTACTTATACACCGACGTGGATGAGCTCAATGACTCTGACTCCGAGACCTACTGAGAGGCTGAGCCAGGGGTCGAGAGAGTTCTGACACTAACGCTTCAGACTGTGCTTTTCAGGAGGAAGGCGCTTCCTCATTCAAGTACAACTTCAGCCTGAGAGGGAAGATCTCAGAGTGAACGAGTGTAAGACATGTGACGACATTAGGAAGAAGAATTTTAAAGGCAAGTTTTGCAAAAGGAACTTTTAGGGTCTTGAAATAGACTTGATCAGAGGAAAACACTTTGATGTCAAATTGCTTTGTGGAATTGTTTCATTTGGTTTTGCAGTGCCAGGAATAATTTGGGACACTGTGCACCCTAATCTGCTTACACAAGCAACACTATTATAAAAAAAGAGATAAGGACACTAGATTTAAATGTTATCAGTAGAGCTACAGTTATATTTAAGGGCAATAAAAGTTTGGTGCAGTAGGCATTATGTGCACAGCAAATTGCCAAAGGACCAAATAAGTTAAAGGGTTTAATAGAATGCCATTTTGTGGAGACTGGAGTAGGGGAAATAAGACATTATCTAAACCAAACGAATATTTCTGAAAATGAAGCTGAGATTTGGTTTTAAATATTGATTTTTTTTTTTTTTAAGAGAAAACATCTGAAAGCCTTCGAATCCTGTATAAACCATGAGAGAAAGCAGATGTATTTTTACATTTTTTCTTTTACATAAAAATTTTAAAATTCCAAGTTTTATAATATTAGAATTGAAAACCAGCTGACTGGGTGCAGTGAGGGCGAAAACTTGTGATGTAGACATGAGATAGATCAGGGCCAGGCTACTGTTGCCCAGTTTTGAATGATTTAGGTTTTTAATTGAACTATTTTTGTTTGAAAAATGTAAAGAATTTCCTAGAAGAAAATTTCAAAAAATCCAAAATTAAATTATTTTCACCTTATTGCAGCTAAGCTTTCAGCATCACTACTTTGGATGGTACACCTTCATCACTTACTACTCTCTGTGCCTCCTCCAGGATTGGGGGATTTTTGTTGTCTTTGTTTAGTGAAGAATCAAATCCCTTGTTATTGATATGTTAACATCATCAGGTCCTTTAGAAGTCATTTGCATATTGGGCAAGATTTAAAATACTAAAATCTTTAGGTCCTATTCAGATTGGGGGAAAGAAGCAACTGCCTTTCGAATAACAGAGGGGTGAGGAGAGAGAGAGAAGGCTGACATTTAGGCTTTTAAACAACAATTTACATTGTTCTGCTTTTACTATAACTCACTTTCCCAGTGAGAATGATTTCACACGTGTAGGGGGTCTTACAGGTCTAGGTAGAGTTCCATAAATTTTCACAAAATGATTCCCAATTTCATTTTATCCTTTTTGTATTGTAAAACTGGAAACTTTATGACATTGTAAATTATCAGCTGGTTTTTCTGAATATAAAGTGTGAAAACACAGAACAGTATTTTGATCTATTTGATAATTTTGTGGGTTTTTTGAAGAATTAATGAGCATGTACATAGAAATAGTGACTGCTTGAATACTGTATTTACTTGCACTCTTTCAGTACATCAAGATTCCTGTATATTTTAGAGTATAATAAAACACAGATGTGAGTTGTATTTAATGAATAATGTATTTGTATCTGTGCATATGACCTAAAAATCTATAAAGTTTCTAGGGCATTGACTACTAGATTTTAAGCATTTTTTCTAAAATATTTACAGAAATTATAAATATAATCCTCCATCTTTTCTTTATAATATAAAAAAAGTCATAAAGGATCCTTCCTAATTAGTGGTAGGAAGGTGAATATGCATTTTAAAGACAGAAGACTACATTTTCTATTGTACCTTTTGAAAAAAGAAAAAACTCAAGAGGATTCTAAAAGTATACATATGTGTGCTTTCTCTTTCCTTTTAGGAATTCTCTTCTGAATTCCCTGAGGGAATTTTCTAGAATCTCAGAATTGAAAGAGACCTGAGGTTCATCCAGTCTAACCTCTTAACAAATGCAGGAGTCCCTTCTACAAGGGTGATCTTTCCAACTTGGACACTTCCAGTGACTCTACCTCACCAAGCAGTCCATTCAGTTGTTGAGCAGCTCTGTCTGTTAGAAAGGTCTTCCTCTCGGTAACTTCTGTCCTTGGGCCCAGGTCTGTCCTCCAAGAGAACACTGAGAACGTTGAAAGGCTGAACCTCGTGCCCTCTGCCATGTCTTCTCTTTTACAGGCTGTTAGACTCACCTGTGCTGATTTCCAGAAGGACTCATTAAACATACTGTTAGATTTTCCACATCTAGTGAAATCCAAGGTGTAGCTATAAAGTAACAAGCTGTTTTTAATTTATCCTCACACGTATCAGAACTTAGATCTTGCATCACTTTATGTCAATGATGCTATTACTGAAAATATTTGTGAGGTGGTTCTTTGGATTATTTGTTCACTAGGAAAACTATTTCATTGCTTTGTGATCACATTTTGTGATAGTCCGTACCCCGGCTTGATCAACCACTTCCTTTGGTCTGCACCTGATGAGGGAAGCCCAAAGTGCTGGCCCAAGTAGTATTTGAGCAGCATTCGTAGTGCTGGAGTTAGTACTTGGGCTGCTTGAATGAACGAACACAGCACCACAGTAAGTTCCTTTAGAGTTACACCTTGTCTGTCAAAGCACTCAGGCCCTGCCCTGCAGGGTTCTTATCCTTGTAGGGCAGGAAAGCCTGTTTGCTTTTTTACCTTATGCATGAAAGATGACATCTGAAATACCCGATGTGTATGTTCCTAATACCAGCTTCTGCTCTAGAACTACTTTGGGCGAAATGGTGGCCACCTCTAAGACATTCGACTCAGTGCCATTGACTTCAGGAGATCTCTGGGTATAGCTATCAATTGGGGGTTAATTTGGCTTATATTGGAAACTTTTAAATGAAATAAAGTTTTTTAATGCAATAAATCAAGTGTCTTTCGTTTTTACATGCAAACTCCTTTTATCTCTTAATGTCTAAGTAGAGTTCTGTTATAACTAGTTTTTACCTTTCTTTAAAAACCTGATTTTTCAATAAAGCTGTTTTGGAATTTAGATGAGGCTATCTAAATGGGTTTTTCATATATATATTCATTCAACATGTATTTATTGCTTGCCTGCCATATACTTGAGGGTGGGAATGGGCAGAAAGTGGGCCTAGAAATTGTGGTCTTGTCCTCTAGGAGCTTATACCTTTATCATGGAAAGGCATATCCCTGAAAGCGGAAAGTATACAAGTATACCTGAAGCAGAGATGACTTGCTAAGGAAGTCCAGAGAACAACCAGATCCCTTTGGGAAGGAAGATCAGAACAGGCTTCATGGTCACTAATTATGTCTATCGAACACATGGTATGTGACGCACTGTCAACGTCGTCATCCTCATGCTTTTGTAGCTGGCTGACCCGCGTGGCGGGTGATTCTGCTTCACATGAGCTCTGGCTGGATTGGACTAGCGCCGTGAATTAGGCTGGGGTCCGCTCCAGCTGAAGTCCAGAAGTTCTCAGTGGTGACGACCAGCACAAGAAGGCAAGCTTGACCACACAGACCCAGGTGTCCCTCTGTGTGTATCTCCGTTGCTGAGACTCTGCTGGCCAAAGCAAGTCACAAGGCTAAGCCCAACCTCGGATGGGGCAGCTTGGCTCGGCCCATTGGGAAAGGATAAGCCCGCCAGCTTGTCACTGTTTCCCGTGTACCCATGGGCATGCTTGGTAGCCTCTGATGTCTGCCTGCTCCCTCCCTGGGGTACCCCTCCCAGTGTAGCTGGCTTGTGTGGTAAAACTGGGTAGCAAATTCGTAGTTTGAATTGGAGAGTTCTTCCGTGGCAGTGCGAACTGGGAGGTCAGTGTTGGGTTTCCTTTTCCCCAAAGGTGAAGAGCCACCCCTTTGTGTACCTCACACTCCGGAGGAATGCAGCACCAGTCCCTTGTCTTCCTGTGACCACCCCTCAAGTCAGCCTAATCTACTGCCAGAGGGAAAGTACAGCTTGGCTAGTGACTCTTTAATCCCCCAAGATGGCTGTGTGTGAAGTTCTCGACTACAGATTATTTCTCCATCTCGCCCTCCCCAGCACTTGTGTAAGTCTCCATTCCCCTGCTTCGTTCTTTGCGTGTTATTTCCCATTTCCTGGTGGTTATTTCACTCCTCTGGCCTTTCTTAGGATTATCTGTCTCCTCTCTTAATTAGACTTGAAATACAGGCTCAAGTGGTATTTCCTTCATTTGAAAAGCCAGTCATTTAACCTTAAAATTAATATTTCTCTTCACCCTTCTCTAAACTTCAAGAAAAAAATTACGTTTTTACCTTTAGACCCTCAGCAAATATTTCTGGAGTATGTACTCTGCAGCAAGCACTTTTTTGGATACTGGAGCTGCACCAGGGATACGATGATGAACCTTACAAAGTCCCTGTCTTCAGGAAGCGTATGTTTTAGTCAGGGAGACAGATCAGATGAGGGGGGACGCTTTGTCATTGTGGCTCTTAAAATGTGGCTCTTAAAATGGTGAAGGAAAACAGTTTTCTAAAAACTCAAGAGTCATTATATAGAAAAATTTTAATTAGAAAAGATGTTTCAAAATGGTAATGTTTCAAAGTGGCAAATATTCATTGGATCTAAAATTTTCAGCAATTTGGCTGGTTTTGCTCAGTGATTAGAGCATCGGCCCTTGGACCAAAGAATCTCGGGTTCAATTCTGGTCAAAGGCAGGGACCTGGGTTGCGGTTCCTTTCCCCGGCCTTGGTCGGGGAGGCAGCCAATCGGTATCTCTCTTACATCAAGGTCTCTCTCTCTCTCTCTCTCTCTCTCTCTCTCTTCCCCCCCCTCCCATTCCCTCCCACTCTGTCTGAAAATAAATGGGAAAATATCCTCAGGTGAGGATTTTTTAAAAATTTTCACCAATTCTTCCCACATACCCATTCAATAGCCTCCCCTATCTGTGCGACTTCTTTTGTCTTTCTTCCTCACAAATGTTAAACAATTATTAATTTAGAGAGCCTCCAAATATAGATGGCTATGAAAAACAAAGAAACATAAAAGTAGACATAAACATATTACATATGTACCAGGGTAGATGCTACATTTCAAGGGAGGCCTGTGGAAAAACTTAGTTTTGTTTAAAAGTCAATGTTATGCTTCTAGAATTCGATGAGAGTTACTATCAAGTAAAGAAGCATCTGTCAAATTCACATAGAATATACTGTGACATTTTTCTTATTACAAAGTAATAATAGTAAAAAATTTAGAAAGATAAGCAAAAGGATAAAACCAAACTATCCATCATCTTACCACTAAGATCATAACAAACACTGAAAGTGATTTTATTTTTCTAAATATGCAACTATAAATATGAGCCATATCTTCTAAATGGGGTTATATTACATATCGTGTTTGTAACTTGCTTTTTTACTTGCTATATTATAAATTTTTCCATGTCAACATGCTGTATATAAATACAAAGTAATAAATACGCATGGTACTTAATGGCTTCCTAGTGTAGAAAATGGCTTCAACCATTGCAACCTCAGTGCAGGCACTTACTGAGCATGTAGCAGGTGCCAAGAAGCTTGCTCAGGCTTCGCCCAGTGGAACGTGCCACCTGAGAGTGAACTGGACGCGGGGACAAACGCGGAGAACAGATTAGCAGAAGGCAGCGGAGCTGTGGGGTCAAATTCATGGAATTCAGAGGCAGGCAGGCCCCCCTGGGTGACGTGTGGCAAGTCACAGCCGCTCTGAGCGCTCGTCGACCCTGTCCAATGCGGAGGTGAGCACATGAAGATCGAGGAGTTGACGCCCTCCGAGTATTCAGAGAAAAGGGAGTGACGCCGTGAATGCTCGCGGACACGCTGCCTTGTGTGAGCCTGGCTCACGCACAGCTGAGTGGCCTTCGGCCAGTTGCTTAGCTTCTCTGTGTCTCGGCTTCCTCAGAATAATAATGATCTCTCACAGAGTTATTGGAAAGATCGAGTGAGTCATTATGCCTGGCAATAGGGAGCGTCGAATAAATAAAAATTCATATGACTATAGCAACCTACTTGGAGCTAGAATTAAAATTAGCCCACAGATTCTTCTATACTCCTCCCACCAACGGGTGGGGTCTGTTTCCTCCCCTAGACTGTAGGTGGGCTCTGTAGCACTTTTACTAATCGTGTGTGGCACAAGTGTCACTGTGCCCCTTTCTGGTTCCAGCCATCCGAAACTGGCAGCTTCCCCCTCCTGCCGTCACATTCTCTCTGGGGACCCTGAGACGTCCCGTGTGCAGTCTGTTCTGAGACCATCATGCTGGAGGCCCACGTGGAGAGGCCCAGCGAGCCTGCCAGCTGCCCAAAGGTGTGCCAGGCATGGGAGTGGGGGAACCATCCCAGAAGTGGGTCCTGCAGCCCCACCACTCCAGCGGGAAAGAGCCAAGCTGCACAAGTGTGCCCTTCCCCAATTCCTGACCCCCGAACTCGGGTGCAAACTGAAATGGGGTTTCCAGTCATTGAGTTTCAGAGCAGTCCCATTACTTAGCAACAGATCATCACAACACAGACTATGAAAATCGAAACACATTATACAAATGAATGGGGAAGGGGTGGGGAGCCGCCAGCCTGGGGACCAGATGATTCATATTACAAATTAAGTCTTGTTTCACCCTGTTCTATAAAAAGACCTTCCCTGTCTGTGTGCGTGCTGTTTACTTCCTTATCTT